TATTTCTGAATGACCCATCACCCTCAAATGTATCTTGAGAGACCACTTTTGGACAAATTGTTTACCACACTCTGGGCAGCTAAAGATTGAGTCATTGACTCTTTCTCCAGATTCAGGCCAGAAGTCTGACAGCTCAGAGTCAGATGTCTGTTCATGAGGGTTTAGATCTGAATTCCTGCTATTTTCTGCTTCTCCACCTGTTTCTGCTGTCCTCTGGTCATCTGAGCTGCTGGTTGGAACATCTCTGTCTTCTATTTGCTGATGATGAAGCTGTGATAACACAGGTTTCCCTGCATCATCCTCACTCTTTATAGAAACTGCAGTGAATGGAAACCTGACGGTGACAGACTCCTGTTCCAAATGGAGCTGCTCTCTCTCCAGACTGGTGCAGAGTTCCTCCTCTTCCTCCTTTATGTGGAGGTGCTCTGGGTTCTGCTGGTCTACATCAACACTCTGTTCTTCAGGATCTTCTTTAACCAGTGCCATATTTAGGACAACTGTGGAAAACACAGAAACATGTGAATGGATAACAGTTGTATATTTGCTTTAAGTTGGTGAAATCTGAACCGACTCAGAAAACATGAAATAACCTTTTAACTGAGAAACATTTGCTCGTCAGGTCAGTATAGAGAAAAAAAGAAAATTTTAAATGCAGGCTTAGTACAATTCATCAGGTTTTACTAACATTTTGACAACCCTAAATATTGATATAATGTTTTAATTTCACAAAATTGTAGCCTAGTGAACTAGACCAAATTCTTGCTTTGCAAAGAATGGTCTAGGCATGCTCCATTGGAACCTCAGCAGCTCCTACCAGGACTCTGGCTAGCCAATCACAACTCTCTAGAGGGGTTTCAAACACATAAAGAGCTGTGATTGGTCCATAATGGTGGGCCAATCATAGTGCTCTATCTGCTTAGTGAACAAATCACAGAGCTTTATCCGCTTTGTGGGCCAATCAGGGCACTCTATATGCCTGGTGGGTGGGATGATGCAACAGAGTGAATTCATTCATTGTCCAGTAGCATGCGGAGAAATTTTCCTTTAATAAATCATGTGTACGATGATAATAAAATACAGGGAACATTTTTAGGCAAATAAAGTTTTCATTAGGAAACTCAAAATGGTTTAAAAATGGTTAACAAGCTCACATTTTTTTTCTATTGGAAATCTATAAAGCTGTGTAAAAAAATTCCAAACGGCGCTCTTTTTTTCGGTCTGCCATCACGCAGCCACAACTGTGCTCTTTGCTGTTCTGTGCTTGTCTCGTGCTGGCGCACCGTTTTACTTTTATTTTTATGTAATGGCGGACTGCCCCGTTGACTGACATATGTGGCGTTCCAATCACAGTGCTTTAATAGATTTTTGGGCCAATATCAGCCAGGTAAACTACAAATCAAGATGGCTGCCATTCTGTAGTGGTCCAATCATGCTATATAGATTTCATGGGCCAATCGCAACACTAAGTAGGCGGGATGTTATTATAAGAAAAAAAACGTGACTAGTCGACGGTCAGCCGCTCGTTTGAAACGGCTTTGGCATCAAGTTTGGACTACTATGACTTTAGCTTTTGTTTGAGTCAAGATCAGATAGAAGTACTAACGTTTATTTAGGAAAAGGATGTGTTTTGCATCTTCTTTGATGGAGTTTGGTGGACTGCCTCGTTGACCGACATCAGTAGCGGTGAGTACGTCATGGCTTGCCAGGCTAGAAGAAACTGAATCGATACCATCACGCAGGTATCTAGTAAATACTCAATACCAATGTTAGATCGATACTAATCGATATTTTAGATCGATCCGCCCAGCCCTAGTAAATAGCCCATATTTGAATAGCGCCTTCTGTTCTACAACCCCCCAAGATGCTTCACAAACCAGGACTTCTTTTGAGCGGAGAAGAGAGCAGCAGATCGCTTATATTTCATGCGCTCCGCAGGCAGCTGCATCCATGGTCACAGTAACATTCTCAAAGAGGCACCATCAAAAAATTTAATTAATTCACGGCTGTTAATGTTCGCTCATATTGTCTATGTCCATGGTTATTGGCAGGCATCCTAGTTTTTAGTCTTTTCAATGTCAGGCATAGAATTAAAAAAAATTTGTTCAATCCATTATTTGAGCTACCAGATTTCAAACTTGGGATTTTCAAAAGGATATTGTCCACCTATTTAAATGCAATAATGTTTTCCACAGGACTGCAGTGCTGTTGGCTTTCATAAGGCCACAGAATTAATATAAATAACCAAGTTGTGCACGGTTATGCTGTTAGGTTTAAAAACCAGGAATATCACCTGTTATTAGGGACCAGGGATCTGAGAAAATAATCCTGACACTGATTTTGAAACATTCATCTTAAACGGTTAACTGCTATGCTCATGGCACATTGGCTGGTCTTTCAAACGATCACCACATGCTACTGAACAACAAGCAATGTGACATACTCACCGCAACAGATGTCGGTAAATGAGGCGGTCCGCATTTGAAGGCGAATATACATAATTTTTCAAAAAAAAAAAAAAAAAAAAACTTAAATACATCTATCTCCTCCTGATTCTAATAAAGCCCAAGTCCAAATGGTCCAAAATTGATGTAAAAGCCGTTTCCAATGAGCTGTCACCATCTTGTTCCACTCTGTTGCATCATCCTGCCCACTAGACAAATAAGAGGGCCCTGATTGGCCCACAATGCGGAAAAAGCCCTGTGATTGGTTCACAAAGAAGATACAGCACTACTAGGATTGGCCCAACATTATGGACTAATCACAGCTATTTATGTGCTTGAAACCCCTCTAGAGAGCTGTGATTGGCTAGCCAGGCTGCTGCTAGGGGCTGCAGAGGTTCCAATGGAGCGTTCACTAGACCAAACTTGGCAAAGCAAGAATTTGGTCTAGTTCACTAGGGAGCCTAAAGTCTGAGTCATGCTTCTGCATCTGCAGTGCGGAGACATGCAACGCCATTATCAGTCTTTGCGAACCTGCTGGAGAGCCCCTGCAAGGACGGACGGAGTCAAGCTCTCTTTTCTAAACATCCATCGAGACGGAGAATGCAAGCTTGTGATTAGTCAGGGCTAGAGCTGAAATAAACAATTTTTAAAATGATTATTTTATCGAATAGTCGACTATTCTAATGACTATTTAGACAATTAATCTAACGATTATTCTTTCATTGCACAATTAATAAAAACCAGAAAATCTCAAATTCCTCAAAAAAATAGATAAATTGGTACTATAAGAGAATAAACACTACAAGCTTTCCATTTTGTATAACTGCATTAATTGTGTTGCAGTTGGTTATGTTCTGGTGACATGTAGAACTTGGGAGTGCAGGCTGCTGCCTTAAGGTTGGTTTATGCTTGACGCGCCTGCGAGGTCCGCACGGCTCCGCGTGGCGAAATTGCGTCATTTTAACAACCACGCCCCTCCACCGCGTCCCCGCACGGCCCAAAATTTCCGCAATGCGCACCTAGTAAAATTTCTAACCACGCGGACGGTCGGACGCGGAAAAACATGGCGGACCGGCAAGAACTAGTATGGCAGAGGTTCGTAAATACAGGCATTAGTATGATTCAGCTCTCAGAGATCACCGTGATCAACATGTTAATAATTCTTGGAGAGAAATAGCTCACACTGTCGGAAAAGATGAGGACGCTGTTAAAAATGCTGAAATGCCATGTTGTAAACAACAGTAATTTCTACTTCTACTATGGTGTAGTGTTGGAAGCATGCTGTAGAGCTCCATGCTGCCCCCTACAGTTTGGGAGAATATTGGCTCACCGCAGAGACGAGCCGCACGAACCATAAACGCTGCGAGTTGTGAAGCGTGTTCCATCCGCGAGCCGCATCACCAAGCGGAAAGTGAATGCGTCAAGCATAAACCAAGCTTAAGAGGTGGTTGGAGACAGTGTCTCCATGCTGCTTTGTTTTGGTCACTAATGTGCGTGAGGCGAGTGATGTTACGACGCTTCCTGGGGAGTTTGGCTCGTGTGCAAAAAGGAAAGAACAATAACATGGAATTTAAAAGTTAAAATGATGATCAGGTTTATTTACAACAAAAAACCATACATTCCATCCACAGGTTGGAAATAATAAAATTATTTCTGCTTGTGGGGAACAACACAAAAATACTAATAACTAGGGATGTCCCACTGGGTAAAGATTACTGGGTTCTGGACCAAAATAAGGATAAGTATCAAACTCTAAACTGGGTGGTTAAACCAAACTCAATGTGATATTTTAAACTAGACTGAAAACCCACAACACTATAAAAGTAATAAAAGGGAGATCTAAGCGACAAAAAAGATGAACATAACTGCTTATCCAAACACAATAAACTTTTAGCGAAAACGCTAACAGTAGCTTTACCAACGTTAAGTTCAAGTTACCAAGTTTAAATAAACCAAAAACACCCAGCAAACAGACCAGCACGGAGGAGAGACTGCTACCACAAAAACAGCTCCCCTAATGTCTAAAAGAAGCTCCTTATGAAGGGAGAAACGCTCCCGGTGATTTTCTACATCTGCAGTAGAGACGAAGCAGCGCATTTGAACCCGGAAGTTGTTGTCCGTTGCCGAGAGATGAAAGCGGTCAAAACAGGAAAGGAATCTAGTAGCGGACGGACGTTGTTCCGGGTCTTCGGTATTTGATGGAGATGTTAGTGAAGGCGGAGAAGAGGGCGAACTAGAGGAAAAACAGGCAGATTCCTCCTCTATTTACAAACTCCTGGGGATGCAACAAGTGGGCGTGGTGCGTCGACTACCGGATCTGACGTCGACAAATTTTTAGAACTGAGCTGTCAACGTCATCAACGCTTCGCTACAGCTCTAGTCAGGGCACCGCTGCCAGTGGGACATCCCTAGTTATTTGTACTTTTGTTTTATGTTTTTATGTCAAAAACATAAAGAGAGCCGAAGATAACTAGTGGCAGACGCGGAGAAGCTTGAAGAATACCTAGCGAAAAAACTCAAAATATGAACGTTAAAATCCCCCGTAACTGGAAATGTGAAATGATGCGCAGCAAGCGTTTTATTTGTGGACGGAAATGACAGGAAACGTGGGTTTGGAGGTGGCGAGCGCATGAAGAGGTGGAGGAGAATGAGAGACAAATTTGTTTGTGTTAAAAAGTCTCTTATATACAAAACACACAATATAAACACACCATCTTGGATGGGATACAAGACAGGATACAACAGAACAGCGCTATAACCTCTGTTGTCCTGGCGGGGAATTGCTTTGCAACACTCCCCAGGAGACGCAGAAGTATGAGGGCAAAATGTCTCCGTCCGTGCGTGTCTCTCTCTTTTGGAGCTGACGGAGAAGTATGACTCAGGCTTTAGTCACTTCTGCATCATGGGTTCCAGGAAGAACAAAAAAATGAATGCAAGTCAATGGGGCTAAAAATGCTATTTTCTAATTCCGCTTGTTTTGTACCATGGATTTCCCATATGATGTCCATGAATTTAAAGACACATTTTGATACCAAGAACGCACTTATTTTCAAACA